TTCTTCCTTCCTTCCTTCCTTCCTTCCTTCCTTCCTTCCTTCCTTCCTTCCTTCCTCCCTCTCTTCTTTCTTCCCTCCCTCCTTCCCTCTTCCCTTCCTTCCTACTGATTGCTTCCAGAAATTTTAATTAATATCTTTTGTTTTTAATTATCTTCATCTCCTAATAAAAGATAAAGGGGAAAAAAGCCATTCGGCAAAATGAACAATGCGTTAATCAAATCTGACAGTGTATTCAGTGATCCACATCCATAGCGCCCCACCTCTGCAAAGAAGAGAGGGAGATATATTCTTATATCTTTTCTACAGACCAAGCTTGGTCATTGTAATTATAAAGCATTCAGTTTCCATTTTTGTTGTTCTTTCCATTTACATTGTTGTTGTCATTGTGCATGTTATTTTCCTGCTTCTGCTTATTTTACTTTGTATCCGTTTATTGGTTTCCTATGCCTTCTTATATTCTTCTTAGTCATTGTAATATTCGTAATCATAGTCTTGTATCACAATTTGTTTAGCTATTCCCTCATCATTCAGCATCTAATTTGTTTCCAGTTCTTTGCTACTATAAAAAATATCTCTAGAAGTGTTTTTGTATATGTTGGACTTTACTTTCTATCTTTGACCCTCTTGGGGCATATGCCCAGGGTATGAGTCAAAGGGTATGGACAGTCCATACCCTTAGTGTTTTTTTTAACCACAATTTCAAATATCTTTCCAGAACTTAAACCAGTTCTACTTTCATCAATAGTATATTAACATGCCTGTCTTCAAGGGTCAAAGATTATAAAATATGGGAAGAGTTGATGTTGTAGGGGTCCACTGCCCTACAACAACTCTTTCCATATTTTATAATCTTTGACTCTTGAAAGTCTTTTTACAATCCCAGACTGGTGAATTTAGAGCTGGAAGAGATCACGGTGATCATTTTGGTGCAACCTCTTCATTTTCCAACTGAGGCTCAGAGAGGGGAAGAGATTTGTCTAAGGTCACACAGGAAGTTAGCGATGTTACTGGGGTTTTGAACTTAAGTCTATTGACTGCAACCCAGGATTTCTTTTTCAGTCCTCTTTCCTGATTTATTAATTATAGTACTCAGAAAACAATGGAAACTTTCTTTGCTGATTGAAAATCTTTTAGGTCAGGTCCCAACACTCTGAGCAGAAATAAATATTCTCTCTCTCTCTCTCTCTCTCTCTCTCTCTCTCTCTTTCCCTCCCTCCCTCTCTCTCCCCTTCTCCTTCTCCCTTTTCCTCTCCTTCCCTCTCCCTCTCTCTCCCTCCCTCTTTCCCTCTGTCTCTGTCTCTATCTCTTTCCTTCCCCCTCCCTCTTTCTCTCTCTTTCCCTCTCTTCTTCCCTCCCTTCCTCCCTCTCTTCCTCCCAACATTGGTAACCAAGAACAAAAACAAATATTCAGATAAACAAAGAAAATGATCCATACATAAAACCCAAAACTCAAAATTATTTACAATTTGTTCAAATCAATGTGTGTATTAACTTGAGCAAAATCAGAACAAAAATGTCCTGTTTGCTTCCCAGTCTCCTGATCCTTTATTCTTTTGTGTGGATTTGTGGTTTTGTTTTCCCAATTTTGTTGCTGATCAGGAATTCTCATCTGGAGGGGAGGGGGTAGAGGGAGGGAAGGCTTTAGAAGAGAGATGTATAAGGAGCCAAGGACATAGCCTGGAAGTTGTTTGGCTTGCTTTGTTTGTTTGTTTATTTTTAAACAAATCCCTGAAAGTCTCTCCACCCCCCCCCCACCCCACCCCCTTTTTTCCATTTGCCTCTTTCTCCAAAAAGTGGAGTTCAGGGAAGAAAAACAATCCTTATTAATGAGGATTTTGTAGTTGCTTTCCCTTTAATACAGGTTTTATTGTAGTTGGGGAGATGAGAATATATGCATAAAAACAGTGAAGACAGCCAAATACTGCAGGAATTTAGAGAAGGGTAAGACTGGCCAGGCTGGGGCTGTCTGTCACAGAGGAGGAAGAATTGCATCTGGGCTTCAAAGGCAGTCGGGGTAGAATTCAAATTGGTTGATAAGAGAGAGTAGCATAGACGTACAGGCAAGGAAAAGCTAGCATACCATGGAGTAGAAAGAACACTGATTTTTGAATTAGAAAACCTAGGTTCAAATCCCAGCTCTGCTGTTTCCTAATTATGATACTTTGGGTAAAGCATCATGCCTCTCTGGGCCTCAGTTTCCTCTGTTTCAAATAAAGGTTAGATGACCTCTAACCTTCCTTGGAGCCCTAGGAGCTATGAATCTGTGCCTTGGTCTTGCTGACCTGAGGGTCAGGGTCTCCAAACTTTCCACAATCTCCTCCAGGACTCAGATATGGAACCTGAAAGCTAAATGAGAGTGCTAAGTCTGGCTCTCTAATACTGCCCCTGGGGGAAATGGCAGAGTAGTGAGTTGCTCTGTATTCCTACGTAGCAGGCCCATCTATCCACCCAGTTTCTTGCTTCTTTTCTTGCATCCTAGGTACTTTCAAACTCAGCTGTTTTGGGGGGGTCCAGGAGTCCACAAAGTATGAGTACTTGTCTGTGTTTGCAAATCCATATGCCAATATGGATTTGGAATCAGAGGACCTGCGTTAGAATTTCAGCTTTTGTTATTTACTACCCATGTGATGTTGGACAAGTCTCTTCTCTGGGACTCAGTTTCCTCCCTTGCAAAGGGGGGACAATAATATTTTACTGGGCAACTAGGTAGTGCAGTAGAAAGATTGCTAGGCCTGGAGTCAGGAAGTCTCCTCTTCTTGAGTTCAAATCTGGCCTCACACACTAACTAGCTATGTGACCCTGGGCAAGTCACTTAACCCTGTTTGCCTCAGTTTCTTCATCTGTAAAATGAGCTGGAGGAGGAAATGGCAAACCACTCTGCCAAGAAAACCCCAAATGGGGTCATGAAGAGTTGAACATGACTGAACAACAAATACTTTTACTGCCTTCCTTACAGGGTTGTTGAGATAAAAGTGATTTGTAAACTGTAAAATGTAACATAAATGAGAGTGGTTGTTCTTCTTAAGCAGGCTGGGGTCATACGTTTAAACCCCACTGTGCTTCTGTAAGTTCCATAGTCACTGATTTTATCACCAACTCTGACTAGGGCTATAATATATAATAATAATAATATATATTATTAATAATAAAATATAACATGTTTTACCTTTTAAAGTGCTTCCGTCCTAGCAACCCTGTGAGGTAGAATTTACAAATATTACTATATTCTTATCATAATATTTTTCCAGCTGAGGAAACTGAGGCTCAGAGAGGTTTAGGTTTAGAAATTTGCCCAGAATCATATCGTTACTCAATGCCAGAGCTGGGATTTGAACCCAGGTATCTCTGCTGCATCTGAGGGAGTAAGGCTTTGTGAGAGTGAGGATGGCTCCATTCAGCCCATCTCTGCCAGGAAAAAACCAAAGTAGCCTCTAGGTCCTGTTGGCCGTGCTCTAGTCATTCTCTTCATACATCAAGAACTCCTGGTCACCCATGGGCACCTAAGCATTGGCATCCATCAGCATCTTCTTCAACAAGCTCAATATGAGTCAACAGCATGACACAACAGCCCAAAAAGCTATTGCTGACCTCAGCTGCACTAAGAGAGGCACAGCGTCTAGTATTAGGGAGGTGATAGTCCCTTTGGTCAGACAACTTTTGGAGTATTGGGTTCTCTGTGCCACATTTTAGCAAGAACATTGCAAAGGTGGGGGAGGAGGGTGACTGGAATGTCAGGGGGATTGGAAACAAGGCCCAGATGATTCTCAGTTGAAGGAATAGGTGATGTTTAACATGGAGAAGAGAAGACAGTTAGAGGTGAGAAGGAAGGGGCCACGATTATTGTCTTCAAGTATTAGGAGAGAGGGATTGGACTTCTTCTACTTGGTTCCAGGGATCAATGGGTAGACTAGAGAGAGGAAGATTCCAGCTTGATGTAAGGAAAGATTTCCTTCCTAAGTTGGCCCCTTCCTACCTTTCCAGGCTTTTCACATCTTACTTACTCTCCTCCACAAACTCAACAATCCAGTGAGTAGGCTGTTCCTTGCACACATTACTCCATTTCCCATCCCCAGGCCTTTGCAATGGCTATTTCCCATACCTGGAATGCCCACTTTCCACAAAAGGCCTTTCCTGCTCCCCCTCCCTCTTCCTGGTCCCTTCCCTCTGAGATTACCTCCCATTTTCTCCACATAGCCCTTGGTTGTGTAGAATTGTTTGCACATTGTCTCCCTCATTAGAATGATACCTCCTTGAGTCCAGGAACTGTTTTGCTTCTGACTCCAGGAGTAGCTCTCCATCCTCTGTGCCACCTAGCTGCCCTCTAGGAGCTTACAATCTAATAGAGAAGAAACATAAAACAAATATATACAAAGCAAGCCATATACAGGATAATTAGGAAATAATGAACAGAGGGAAGGCACAGGAGTTAAGAGGGGTTCAAGAAGGCTTCCTGTAGAAGGTGAAATTTTATTTGGGACTTAAAGGAAGCCAGGGAGGTCAGTAATCAAAACAGAGGAGGGACAATGTTTAAGGCATGGAGGACAACCAGAGAGAAAGCTGATAGCTAAGAGATGGAGTGTCTTGTTTGTGGAACAACCAGAAGACCAGTGTTACTGGATAGAAGAGTGTGTGTTGGGGAGTAAGGTACCATTGGAATATAAGCTTCTAGAGGGTAAGGATTGTCTTTTGCCTTTCTTTATATTGCCAAGGTTTAGCACTATGCCTGACACATACATGGTAGTCTTGTAGACTAAATAAATAAATAAATAAGTAATAAATGCTTGTAGACCAACCGACCACTTTTCAGGAACGTTGTAGAGAGGATTCTTGTTCAGGTATAAGTTGGCCAAGTTGGATTCTGAGGCTCTTCCATTTCTGGGGTTCTGTGTTTTGGGGTATGGCATGCCTACTCCTGGGAATAGGAATGAGAAAGGCCTGGAGAGGCCTGGAGAATGCTGAGTGGAGACAATGTTTGACTTTGTCTTCTCCTCTGGCCCCAGGTGCCGGTGTCTGTGGCCATGATGTCACCTCAGATGATCACCCCCCAGCAGATGCAGCAGATCCTGTCACCTCCTCAGCTCCAGGCCTTGCTGCAGCAGCAACAGGCCATCATGCTTCAACAGGTGAGACCCCACCTATCCCCAACCTCTTTGTCCCCTCTTCTCATCTCTCACTACCAGTGTCCTCGACACTACACAAGTTCAGGCCTGTTACTGAGTGGGTAGAGTAAGGCGTGGGACCAAGAGGCCCACCTTCTTCACCTTCTTCCTGGTGGTCTCCTCTTTCCCCCCTCAGGCCTGGTTTTCTGCCTCTGGTCCTTGTTTACTACCAATGCTGAGGGGAGCCCCCAGCTCCAGTGGAGAGGTGGGGCCTGGGAGGGTAACAGAAACCTGTTTGACAGTCAGGGAAACCGCACAGGCTAGACAGGCCTGCATTCTTCTAGAACGGCTGGGTACAGGTCAAAGATCATTTTTTTCTTTTTCTTTGTTGAGGGTTATATTCACACTCTACTCCCTAGTCCCCTGGGGGTTCCTGAGGTACCGGTCCTACCCCCATTTTCAGAGCTCTGGGCCTGAGAAGAAAAAAAGATCAGATGTTCTGACCTGTACAGGAGATCTCTCTTCCACTCCTGCAGGGAGGGGAGGGCTGGGACAAAGGATTTAAGAACCCTAGCCTCAGCCGTATCTGGGAGGCTTCATCTCTCCTCTAGGAGGCGAAGAGGCTGAGGGAAGGACTGTGCCCTCCCTTTATGAAGAATCCCTTTGCCTGGTGACTTACACTAGACACCAAGTCCGTCCTCTCACCAACCTCTTCTCTTCTTGCCCTGCCACATTCCCCAAAAATAGTTCTCAGCAGGCAGGGGTCATAGGATCAGAGCCGAGATCCAGACACTGATCAAAGGGCCCTCCCAAGCCATTTTAGTCTAACCCCTTCATTTGACAGATGAGGAATCTGGGGCCCAGCTGACTTGCCATAGGTCACTCAGGTAGTAAGGATCAGAGAAAAGTTTTGATTCCAGGTCCTCTGAATCCTGGGTCCGTGCTTTTTCCCTGGGAAAGGGTCTGCCAGGTTGGACTCCTGGATCCATTTTACCAAGCAAGTTGGATGCAGTTTCCACCCTCGCTTTAAGGCAATGAGTAGTCCACAGTTGGGAGGTGGGGTAGAAGAAGAAAGAAAGCAACCCAGACTTGGGTTTGTTTGCTTGTTTGTTTGTTTTTTCCTTCTATGACCTATTCCCACCCTTCCCTTATGCCCCAGTTACAGGAATATTACAAGAAACAACAAGAACAGCTTCATTTACAGCTCCTCACCCAGCAGCAAGCTGGGAAACAGCAACCCAAAGAGGTAAGAGGCTTGGGTGAGGGGCAGGCAGCCTGGGCCCTGTACCCTTTCTTTCCCTCCACTCCCCCCCACTCACTTTACCTCTAGCCCTTCCTAGGAAGTAGAGAAGCCTGTGGCAATGGTGTAGTTGAAGAAGAAGCAAGCATTTATTAAGCTCCAGTGTGGCAGGCACAATTTTTATCTCATTTTATCCTCATAACAACTTTGGGAAGTAGCGCTGTTATTATCTCTATTTTATAATGGAGGCTACTAAGGCGGAGGTTAAGTGACTTGTCCAGGATCACAGAGAAAAAAAATAATAATGATAAATAGGTAAATATATATATCGCCTACTGTGTGCCAGGCACTGTGCTAAGTGCTTTACAATTATTATCTCATATAATCCTCACAACAGCCCTGGCGGGGAGGTGCTATTATTATTCCCGTTTTGCAGTTAAGGAAACAGAGGCAAACAGAGGTTAAGTGATTTGCCCAGGATCATATAGCTAAGAAGTGTCTGAGGCCAGATTTTAATAATAATCATAATAATAAATAATGATGATGAAGAAAGCTAACATTTTTATAGTGCCTACTATGTGCCAGGCACTATGCTAAGTGCTTTACAATTATTATCCCACCTGATCCTCACAACAGCCCTGGCAGATAAGTGCTGTTAGTATCCCCATTTTGCAGTTGAGTAAACTGAGGTAGATTAAGTGACTTGCCCAAGGTCTCATACCTAGTAAATATCTGAGGCTGTATTTGAACTCAGGTCTTCCTGACACCAGGTTCTTTCCACTGTGCCACCTAGGTGTCTAGTTGGTGACCAGTTTTTCCCCATGCTGCTCCATCCCTCTTTCTTTCTTCTTATTCTGTGTACCATCTTATCCCCAGGCCACTACCTGATTAGTTGTGTTCCCTTTTACCGTATGGGACAATTGTGTGGGAATTTAGGTGTGAGTGTGTAGCTCGAGCCATGTTTGCATGCCTGTATATGTGTAACTTCCTGGAGGTGTATGTGTATGTGCATGTGCCTCACTTTGTACTTTCTTATGCCTTAAATCTCTCTGTTGTTTTTTTTAGATAGATTTTTATGTATATTTTTTTTAAATCACTCCTGTTTCTCATTGTATGCCTCCCAAGAGCCATTCCTTAAAACAAATAATTTTTTTTTTAAAGATGAAAGAGAGAAAAGAAAAATTAGCAAGACAGTTCAACACATACAAAAAAACCTGGCATTGTAAGCAATAGTCCACACTCATGGACTACTCCTCTTTACCAGTTTCCCCACCCCCCCCCAACCTCTGCAAAAGATCGGGATGGAAGAGATTCTCAAATCTCGTGTTTGGGGCCAAACACTTTTATACTTTTGCAACATTCCTTCCATTCTCTTAAAGTCTCTCCTGTGGATCTCAATACTGTGGCTTTCTATTCATCAGCTTCCCAAATGCCAAGTTCCCTCCTTCCTTCTCTTTCAGTTTGCCTCATCTCTCTGCCTCTCAAAGTCTTCCAAACAGCCTGCCCATCCTATCCAAGCCACACTTTTCTTCCTGCCCCTCCTGACAGCTCCTGCTCTGTGTCCAAAAATAACCTCCTTCCTCCCATGTTGGGAAAAAAATGACAGTTCCAAGCAGCCTTCTCCATGGAGTCTTCCATGATTGGAACTAAACACCCTCCAACATACCAGGACAATTGGTGGCTTCTTTTGCTACTTCAACTCACTCTTACAATTGCTATACTATCTCTAGTGTTTCCTCTTGGTTAATCTTTTTTTTTTTTTTTTTTTTTAGGCAATTGGGGTTAAGCGACTTGCCTAGGGTCACACAGCTAGTAAATGTCAAGTGATGTTTGGTCTGAGGCCACATTTGAACTCAGGTCCTCCTGATTTCAGGGCCAGTACTCTATCCACTGCGCCACCTAGCTGCCCCCCTCTTGGTTAATTTTGTTAGCCATCGTGGTGTTATGGTTAGGACACTGCTCTTAGAGTCAGGAATGCCTGGATTCAAATCTTGACTAAGACATTTACTAGCTCTGTGACCCAGGACAAGTCACTTAACATCTCTATGTCTACGTTTTATCTACAGAATGAGGGAACTGCATTTGATGGCTTGTAAGGGTTCTCCCAGTTCTGAACAAATGATTTATTAAATGCTTACTATTTGTAAAAACACAGTGCTAAGTGCTAGGATACAAATGGAAAAGTAAGACAATCCCTGCTTTCAGGAAGCTTATGCTCTAATGAGGACATTATAAATCTGCAATCTTATGTTTTTTTTTTCCCCAATAAGTAGCAAGACATCATTGCAAGCTCCTAGGGCAGGCATGGCCCTGGAGGGCTCCATAAATACTTGCTGACTGACTGACTTGTCTCTGCCTGTGCATGTGGCTGAATGGCCCTGTCTGAATCTGTGTGTGCTGGGGGGTGGAAGGCAGAGTTGCGTGTGGGTGTGACCAGGTGTATGTACTGAGTAGGAGTAAGAAGGGAAGGGAAAAGTTGGTGGGACCGAAAGGATAAGCTTCACCTCTGACCCCAGCATGTTATCTGTCACAAGAGGTGATTGTGGTCAGTGGTTCCAGGCAGAGACATGCCTATGTATAAGTGATTGTGTGTTTAGGGTGTAGGGATGTGTGTGTGGTGGTATATTGAAATGATTGAACATGTTCTTGTGGGGTTTATCTTGCCTGCTTGTGACCTTCTGTCCTCCTTGGGGAGCCCCTACCTTCTGGAGAGAAGTTTTTCTGATTATACATAAGAGATAAAAGGGACATTGACATATAGCAGTGGATCTAGAGAAGGGTGACCAGGCCAGTGAGTGATCCGGAAACCACATTGTAATGGGAATAGCTTAAAGAATTGGATGTGTTTAGTCTGGAGGACTTAAGAAGAGGGGTGAGGAGTAGGACATGTTTGCCATCTTTAAGTATTTAAAGGCTTGTCATGTGAAAGAGAGAATAAACTTATTCTTCAAAGCTCTAAGAGATAAGATTAGTACCAAAGGCTGGAAGTCACAGGAAGAAAGATTTGGTCTCAATAGAAGAACTTTCTCAATAATTAGAGTTGTTTAAATATGGAATGTGCTGCCTTAAGAAGTAGTAAGCTTCTAGTCTGGATCACTATTCAAGCAGAGACTATAAGACCATATGTATCAGGGATGCTCTAGAAGAGACTGCTGAGTTGCATGAGATGTATTGTCAAGATGATCTTCTCATTCTAAGTTTGGTGATTCAGTAAGAGGAAAAAAATTAGTGGAAAGGGGCAGCTAGGTGGTGCAGTGGATAGAGCACCGGCCCTGAAGTCAGGAGGACCTGAGTTCAAATCCGGCCTCAGACCAAACACTTGACACGTACTAGCTGTGTGACCTTGGGCAAGTCACTTAACCCTGATTGCCTCACTAAAAAAAAAAAGTAGTGGAAAGAGGAATGGATTTTGAGAACACAGAGAACCTTACTACCTTCCTTGCTAACTTTGGCCTTAACATCTCTGGGCCTTTTTCCTTATCTGGGAAACACAGGGATTGGAATAGATGATGGCTAAAATCTATTCCTTCTCTTGATACTAAGTAAAGAAAGGGGGGGGAGAAAGGAGAAGAAAGATCAGAAAAAAAATTTTAAAAAACAGTAGTGGAAAGGAAGGAAGGGAGGACAGAAAAGGAGAGAATAGAGAGAAGATGGCAATAGAGAAGAAAATGAGAGAATGCCAGAGGGAGGGCCAGACCAGGAGAAGGGAGTAGAGCTGTCCCCCTTCTCAGCATTGCCCCATGTACCAGTGGCTTTTTCAAAAGCTGGGGCTATTAGAGGAAAGAGAAGAAGGTGGGGTGACACAAGTCAGCTGACTTGTGTTCCAGGCCAGAATGGCACCCAGAGGTCTCTGATGAACCAGGGGTAGTAGAGAGCAAGCTTTCCCTCCACCCACCGCTACTGCAATGAATAGAAAGGGGGATGGCCCCTGGGAAGGACTTCAGTCTTTGGGGAAGGAAAGTAGGGAGGAGACAAGACTCTTTAAAGGCTGGTTGGAGCAAGAGGGAGTGGGGCTGGGGGGTGGGGGAGGGCAGGCAGCACCCAGCTCCAATGAGGAAAGGCCTGATTAGACATTTCTTCCTTTCACTGTTACTTCCCTGGGACCAGGCACTTGGGAACAAGCAGCTGGCCTTCCAGCAGCAGCTCCTCCAGATGCAGCAGCTGCAACAGCAGCACCTGCTGAACCTGCAGAGACAGGGTCTGGTCAGTCTGCAGCCCAGCCAGGCAACAGGACCCCTCCAAACTCTCCCGCAAGGTGAGTAAGTCTTGTCGCTCCCACGTACTCCCTGTACTCTCCCAGGCCCAGACTGAGCCTCCAGAGCCCCTACTCTGAGTTCCTGGAACCATCCCACTGCTAGGGTCTAGACTGAGCCTCCCACGCTTCCGTGCCCTGGACCCCTGAGGCGACCCCACATTCCTAGGGCCCCACACGGAAGGTTCAGAATCCTTCCTCCAGGGTTCCTGGGAAGATAGTCACAGCCTTCAGTTCCAGAAGGTTAGGTGTCTCCTGTGCTGTCCAAGAAGGATTAAGGGTGGGGAGGGACCTCTATCTGGCCCTGTTCTCTGCAGCCGTGTGCCCATCCGACCTGCCCCAGCTGTGGAAGGGAGATGGGGTGGCTGCCCAGCCAGCAGAAGACAGCGTGAAGCAGGAGGGGTTGGACCTCACCACAGCAGCAGCCACCGCTACCTCGTTTGCTCCCCCTAAGGTCTCACCCCCCCTCTCCCACCACACCCTCCCCAATGGGCAACCCACTGTGCTCACACCTCGACGAGACAGGTACCTTTGGAGAGGGGACCTGAAAGGGAGCTGTTGGGGCGGGTGACTCCGGGATGCCCACTGTAAATAGTTCAGATCTGCCTCTTGAACTGTGGAGCTTTTAAACTGGGGGAGGAATTGAGTGGGGGATGGGGGTTGGTTGTGGGAGTCAGTACTCCTGGAGGGCTGAATAGCTGATCAAAGGAAAATGGTGGGGGGGGGGGGGAGCTGGGACCAAACTGGGCCAAAGGGTGTCATGGTCAGCAACAGGGACCCCTGCCTATTGTACAAGGTCCATTACCTCCTACCTTCCTTCCTTCCCTTCCCAGCTCCTCACATGAGGATACCCCTGGCTCCCATCCCCTCTATGGTCATGGGGAGTGCAAGTGGCCAGGCTGTGAGACCCTTTGTGAAGACCTGGGGCAGTTTGTCAAGTAGGTACCCAACCACCCCCACCTCCTCCCTTCTAGCCCCTCCCCCTCACCTCCTTGACTGTACCCCTTACCTCCACTTCCCTGCCCTCTTTGGTCACTGAGCACTACAGTTAGCCTCAGTTCCCCTCCCTCCCATAATTGCCACTGTCTTCCCTTCTTTGAATCTCAAGTCCTAGATAGCGCCCCAGCCACTGAATCCTTGAACCTGAATCTGTGTTTTGGGGGTGAGGGAGTGCTGAGATGTGTGGGTGTGGGTGTGAGTGCATACTCTCAGTCACACACACAGCTGTCTTACCTGGGCCCCGCCTCCAGCCATTCCTAGCCCCTCTAGCCAGCTCCTGTGGGAACTGGAACAACTCCTCCCCATCCTAGGGAGATACAGAGTACGTGGAGGGGTGAGTAGGGAACAGTGTCCAGTTCCTATATCCTCCCAGTCTGCCCAGTCCAGGGGCAGGAGGAAACTGACAGCGGAGTGATGGGGCCTGGAGGGGGCAGGTGGACAGGTGGGGGGGTGGACAGGCGGTTGGCGCTGCCACAGCGGTGCCAGGCTCTGTCACTGACTGATTAACTCTGCTGTCTCCCAGCCCCTTGCAGCATCAGGGTCAAACAAATTGTTTTCACGCTTCGTCAGAGGTTTACTTAATTAGTTCATTTGCAATTAGATCTCTCTGTAGCTGGGATTTTAGCAAAGACATCAAAGGAAGCTGACTACGAGGATGCTGCTTCTATCTTCCCTTTCTTCTGGCTTGGCCACCTTCTCTGTCTCTTTGTCTCCATCGCTCTGTCTGCCCCTCTCTATCTCTCTGTCTTTGTGTGTGAGGGGATTGAAGATGTATCAGGGAAGGCAGATTGGGGAGAACAGTCAAGGGAGTTGAGGGGTAAATCCTAGGTGAAGCCTGAATCTAAACCTTCCCTTCTCTCCCCCCATGAAGACACCTCAATACAGAACATGCACTTGATGACAGAAGCACAGCCCAGTGCCGGGTCCAGATGCAGGTTGTCCAGCAGCTGGAGATACAGGTGTGGCCCTCTGTGTGTATGTGTAGGGTGCTCGTTGGATCCCACTCACCCTTCACCTTTCCATGGGGCCTTCTGGACTCAACCATGTATTCCTGTAGCCAAAGTGATCTCCTTACCTTGTCTAAATTCTCCTGGCCATCTTGAATGGGGGAGCTGAACTCTAGAGAGGGCACATTGTGGGCTTAGGGGGGTCTTGGTCTTGCCCTGGGAGGACCAGAAGCAGCATAGTTAGTGTATCCAATATAACTAGCAATCCTCTTGGCAGATGGGTTCTACTGGATTTGGGAGACAATATGTGCTCAGTTTCCCAGTGGGTTGTCTTAAGCAAAGGTTGTGGCAAAAAAAGGTTCTGGCAAAGTCAGATTGAGGAACATGAAGAAATCATAGAGGAGTTAGTGGCCTGAATGGCAGATACCCAAGAGACAGATCAGGGGACTCAATCAATCAATGAGAGAAATTAATCTGTCAACAAATATGTATGCAGTATCAGCTCCCTACTAGACTACACATTCCTTAAAGGTGGGGATACATTTTTGCATTCTTCACAGGGCCTGACTGAGGGCCCTCATATATGATATAGTGGACACTCAGTAAATATTTGGTGGGTAAATCAATCAACCAATAAGCGTTGATGAATAAATGCTAAATTCTAAATGGGTTGAATAGCATGAACAAAGGTGGGAACCCTGGAGTTTGATAGGACTGTGGGACTAAAGGATACCTGTGTGAGGTCAAGCCTTTGAAGAGACTTGTGTTTTTCATCTTTTCTCCCCTTGGTTCCTCCTTCCCTTTCCCCTTGAGGCAGAGGACTGGGGAAGGATGGTGTTGGATGCTAATGGAAGGGGAGAGGGCTAGACCCTGAAAAGGCTCTGAAACCCAGGCTTTTTCTCCCACCTTCTTTCTCTCCCTACAGCTAGCCAAGGAGAGTGAGCGACTTCAGGCGATGATGGCCCATTTGCACATGAGGCCTTCAGAACCCAAGCCCTTTAGCCAGCCGGTGAGATGATCCATGCCTCATATGTCCCCTGCTCCCAGTAGTCCCTATGACCCCTCATACTTTCCAGTGGGGTATGACCTTCCAAGAACCCTCTAGGACTTCCCAGACATTTTCCCCAACCATTCCTTTAGTCCCTCCCCCTGGACATTGTCCCTCTACCTTAGACCTTTGTGCTTCAGATCTGTTCCCCTCAGAATCCTTTCCTTCAGAAACCAAACCCCACTTACCCCTTTCCTCAGTGATTGAAATTCACCCTCCACTATTCTGACTGTGAGATCTACAAGAGTGGAGAAGACATTGGAATCCAAGGAGATGCTCTCTGCTCATACCTGCCGTCCTCCTTTTCTCTGCTCTCATCACCCTTTTCATTTTTCATAGCTGAACCTGGTGTCAGGCTCCTCACTCTCCAAGGTGACTGTCTCAGCAGCTGATTCATTCCCGGATGGCCTCGCCCACCCCCCCACCTCAGCTGCCGCCCCTGTTACTCCCTTACGCCCCCCTGGCCTCAGCTCTGCTACTCTGCACAGTGGGGGCCCTGCCCGCAGGAGGAGTAGTGACAAGTTCTGCACCCCCATCTCCTCTGGTGAGGGTGGGAAGGTGGGGGCAGGAGGACCACAGAAGGGGAGGCATTGTGGTTTAGGGGAGCGGGCTTCCTTGGGCCACAGGTCTGACCCTCCTTATATCCCTCATCTCTCTCCCCCAGAACTGGCCCAGAATCATGAGTTCTACAAGAATGCAGATGTCCGACCTCCCTTTACCTATGCGTCCCTCATCCGACAGGTGAGCTTCCCAAGAAAGAAGACGGAGGTGTTGGGGATAAGAGAACTCATGAAAAGCCCTCCCTTCTATTCTCATTTCTATCCCCCAATTCTGCCTTTAGTTGCCTATTTGCTTATGAAGCCCTTCCCTCTCCTTTCCCACTATCTAAATCCTACCCAGCCTCCCCCTACCCTGACCACCCTAGCCTCCCTTCTTTGAACATTGAGAGCATTTATTGTCTCTTCCATTCACTCCCTATTCCTTTAGGGTCAGGGGAAATGACTCATCCTTCTCCCATCTCTCTCACGCACGTGTGCACTCACACACATAGATGCTCCTACGGCTTATATTGTACATTGTAAATGTGCACACAGGCTTATATATGGCACATCCCCTCCCACACTCAGTTTTTGTTTTTGTTTTGTTTTTTTTTGTTTGTTTGTTTTTTTGGCTAGGCATTGGGGTTAAGTGACTTGCCTAGGGTCACTCAGCTAGTAAGTGTTTTGTGTCTGAGGCCGGATTTGAACTCAGGTCTTCCTGAATCCAGGGCCGGTGCTCTATCCACTGTGCCACCTAGCTGCCCCTCCACACTCAGTTTTTCACAGATATACCTTCTCTCATCATTTTACCAGCTCATTCTTTATGTCTCACACACATACATGTTCATTTTCTCTTATTGCACATAGATATAACTCACACATATTTCCTTAGGCATGTATATATGTACCATTCCTGCTTATGCTGCATACTTTGTCTCTCTTACACAGGCATACACAATTACTCCCTCCTCTCATACCCATGCTTACACACATACACATATACATGCTCACACATAGAATGTTTGGTCAAGGATCATATATACATATCTATGTATGGAGGGAGAGGGAGAGGACGAGGGAAAGGGAGAAAGAGAGAGAGAGACAGACAGACAGACAGACAGACCTATAAGGGACCTAAGCAGTTCAATTTGGTTCCTTTATTTTATAGATGAGGAAGCTGAGTTCCAGGGTGGGGAAAGTTATTTATCCAAGATAGTAAGCAAGGATTCAAGACAGAGCAAAGATTCAAACCCACTTCTTTGACTCTGAATCAAATACACTTTCTTTTTTAAAAAATGCTTTAAATTTTTATTTACTTTAAACTTGAAAAACAAGTACAAACATTTCCATGTTCAAAGAAGAACTGAAAAGGAGGATTGCCTATGAAACCACGAGTCTCTATTATGTATAGGGTTTTTTTTAAACATAAAATAAATTCAACACTGTTTCAAAGCTGTCTTGCTTCTCTTTGGTTGTAAATTCAATGGCCTTCTTTTCATTCTTTTCTTTTTGGCATTACTTATTACTAAACTCCCTCTTCCCCTTAATCCCCCTCACCATTTTTTAAAGCCTTCCTTTGTAACAAGTAAGTATAGTCAAACAAAACAAATCCACACGTTGGCCACGTCCAAAAATGTATGTTTCATTCTTCACCTCTAGTCCAACATCTGCTATAAATATGTACATATGAGACCTTTTCATCTTTTTTGACTTCTGGTTATGTTGTTGGTTCAAAGAATATGCACAGTTTAGTGACCTTTTGGTATTGTTCCAAATTGCTTTCCAGAAATGCTGAACCAATCCATAGCTCCAGCAGCATCGCATTACTGTGTCTGTCCTCCCATATACAGTGCTCTTTCCACTCACTTCCATATTCTTTGTATTATGTACACATCTTTTTTTTATATTCTCTCTGTCTCTGTCACTGTCACCATCCCTGTCTTCTTCCGCTCCCTCCCTTCCTTGTTCCCTCATCCTTCCTCACTCTCTCTTTTCCCTTCTCTCTCTCCTTCCCTTCTTTCCTCTTCTCTCCCTTCCTCCTCTTGCTTTCTCCCCCTTTTCCTTCCTTCCATATAGGCACTCATGCATACAAAGTTAATGATTCCTGAGGTCATTGGCAGAACTGATTAGCCAGCCATAACACTTATCATATGACAGAGCCAGCTTGATTATACAGTGGACAGAGTGCTAGAAGTCAGGAAGGCCTGAGTTCAAATCCTGCCTCAGTTACTAGCTGTGTGATCCTGGGAAAGCTACTTAATTGCTGTCTGCCTCAGTTTCCTCATCTGTAAAATGGGGATAACAATAGTTCTTAACTCTTAGGGTTGTTGTGGGGATAAAATGAGATAATACTTATAAATCACTTTGCAAACCTTAACATGCTATATAAATGCTAGCTATTATCATTACTAAAGCATAAAGGTACATGCATACATACACAGTCACACCCTTCATGTCTCATACTCATATACTTAGGAACTTTTACAAGGGCTAGTGTGGGCTCAGAAGCAGCTAGGTGGTGCAGTGGATAGGACGCTGGTCCTGGAGTCAGGAAGACCTGAGTTCAGTTCTGGTTTCAGACACTAACTAGCTGTGTGACCTTGGGCAAGTCACTTCTCCCTGTTTGCTTCAATTTCTTTATCTGCAAAATGAACTAGAGAAGGAAATGGCAAACCACTCCAGTATCTTTGCCAAGAAAACCCCAAATGGAATCACAGAGAGTTGAACGTGACTGAAACGACTCAACAATAAAAATTGTGGGCCTAAGGGAGAGCTGGAATCCTAGGAAAGAGAATCCAGTGCTATTGATTTCTTATCCCTCGAGGAAGTAACCCCTTTGACCTCTGCTTCCCTTGAAGGCCATCCTGGAGACCCCTGACAGGCAGCTTACTCTGAATGAAATCTACAATTGGTTCACCAGGATGTTCGCCTATTTCCGGAGGAATACAGCCACCTGGAAGGTGAGACGCTTACCTTGCTTTGCCTCTCCTCCTCTTCCTAAGGGCCCTTGACTGATACTGCAGGCCATCTACTAGATTCACATCTAGGATAGGAGATTCCTGTAGGGAATATTAATGTTATAGCCCAAAGGTCAGGTTCCCTTCCTCTAGAAGCCCAGGCCTACCTTTGTGTGGTTGGCTTAGTTGGGAACATTTTTGGTTCAGGCATGTCCCCATATCATCATCATCGGGGACTCCTACAACTCAAATGTCTCCTCAGAGATCCTCTGGATTCTGATTCCCCTTTCCCAAATTCAATTCAACAAAGAGTTCCTAAACACTTATTATGTGCAATACCAGCCTGGCATAAAAGATAGGGAGGAGATCTCAGAGTCAGGAAGACCTCAGTTCAAACCCTGTTTCTTACATATGCTGTCAGTAAAACCCCGGGCAAATTACTGTGCCAGATATTCAGGATACAAAATCAAAAATGAAAGAGTCTGTCTCTAGGGAGCAGGTCTGTACTTTCCTCTTGCATTTTAGGGGAGGTGGGAGATAAAACATCTCCGCAAATAAGCATAAAATGAGGAAAATTCAATGGTGAAGGAAAAGACCAAGATCTAAGGGGGATTGGGTTCAAGGAGGATGTGCCCTCTAATGAGCCTTTTAGGAAGACAAGGATTCTGAAAGGTAGCAGTGAGAAGGGAGTGCACTCCAAGTATGAAGACTAGCTTGTGTGGATGCAGGGTGAGAGCTGAAGTGTAAAATTCCGGGAATGACTTACAATCCAATTTAAGTGGAACATAGAGTTTTTAAAAGAGAGAATTATGAAATAAGGCTGGTAGTGGGGCACTAGATTATGGAGGGCACTAAACTAGGTTGAGGAGTTTTTTATTTTATTCTATTGACAATAGTGAGCCACTAAAGTTTTGTTTTTTTTTAACAAAGGGAAACATGATGGGGTCTGACCCCTGGTGACCACACAGGCTCTAGAGGCAACCACAAGGGGCACAGGCCCCTTGATGAGCTTGTGGCTAGGTTCTAATGAGGTGTGTCCAAACCATTCAGAGGAACCCTAGAATTACTAAAACTGTAGTGTAGAGATGTTCCAAAGACCCTACCCCTCACTGGGGAAGAAAAGTGTACGGGAAAATTGGACATGGGGCCAAATATGGGTCTGTGGACATGGGCACAGATACGTATATAGACATGGACACACATACACCCTCCCCCTTTCTGCTGTCAGAAGCAGAAAGATAATTGTCTTAGTCCAATTAGTCATTTCAACACCTCCAGCCATAACAGTTTTCCTAGGGGGACAAGAGAGAGAAGGTGGGGGGGAGGGCTAGGGAAAATGGGACAGGGAGTTAGGGGCCGGATGCTGATAGCACCTTCTGTTTTCTCATTGCCAAGACTGTGGGGGTGGGAGGAGTGGAGAGAGAGAGAGAGAGAGAGACAGACAGACAGACAGACAGACAGAGACAGACACAGATGGATAGAGTGAGAGAGATAGAGAGAAAGACAGATGGACACAGAGAGACACACAGAAATAGATGGAGAAACAGAAACAGAAAGACATAGAAAGATGGAGAGAGAGATGGGGAGAGAGAGATGGAGAGACAGACTGAGATAGAGATGGAGAGTGATAGGGAGAGAGAGACAGAGAGACAGAGACATAGAGATGGAGAGACACAGAGAAGGATAAATGAGAAAAGAGGGACAGAGAAACAGAAAGATGGAGAGAAAGTGATGGGGAGACACAGACACACAGAGATGGAGAAAGATGAAGAGAGACAGAGAGGTGGATAATTGGGAAAAGAGGGGCAAAGAAACAGATACAAAGAGAGAGACAGAGAGAGAGAGAGAGAGCACACTCACAGGCAGGTGCAGGTGTCAGATGAGGAACTTGGTGCCTATACAGCAGGGTGGGCATTGTGGCTCGGTGGAGAGAGGGCTGGAGCATGACCATCAAGCTGGGGAAGAGAAGGGGCAGTGTCTATGCAGGGAGTTGCCAGGATCTTTGGCCTTTGAGGTCCCCTGCTGGCCAGTGTTGGAACTTCAGAGGTGCAAGATGTCTCTTCCCCAGGCTGGGTGGGAGGGAACATTTCCGTGAATTAGGATCACAGGGTCATAGATTTAGAGCAAGAAGAGATGGTCATCTACTCTAGTCCAACCCCCTATTTAACCAATGAGGAAACAGATTTAAAGAGGTTAAGTGACATGTCCAAGGTACAAGAATAATGAGTGGCAGAACAAGGATTTTAATTCAGACTCCAAATCCAGCACTCTTTGCACTACGATTATCCATAAAGTGTCCTAGTACTCAGACCTAGGGCATCTGACTTAAAATCTTGTCTCTTACCCTTAAGTCATACTGCTTCGTCAGTATAATACTGCCTTGGCTTATGGAAAACGTCAAAATAGGTAATGACAGGATTGGAAGGGAATTCGAAGGGTCATCTCGGTCATCCTCCTAGCTCTAGGCAAATATTACCTAAACCATTCTGGAAAGATGGGTGTTGACATTGTTACTGAAGAGCCTCAAGAATATTTCAGCCTTTCATTGAACTCATTGTCATAAGACTTTTCTGAACAGCAGGTCAACTCAGTGGATAGAGAACTGGACTCAGAGCCAGAAAGATCTGAGTTCAAATAGGACCTCAGTTCACTTACCATCTTTGGGCATGTCACTTAACCTTTGTCTGCCTCAGACTGTAAACTGGGGGTAATAATAACACCTACCTCCCAGGCTTGTTGTGAGGATCAAATGAGATCACATTTGTAAAGCACTTTGCAAACCTTCAGCCACTATAACATTTTAAGTCCCTCAATGGACAGAATGTGAATGTACTGAGTCCCTGGCTCAGGGCCATAGCAGGTACTATGCATGATGCCTCCTCCCAGGACTTCGAGGTGAGCAGAGTCACTCAGCTAAAATGTCACCCCCATTCCTTGGACTAGGGTCACAGAGTTAGAGGGATAAGACCCCAAAGAGGTAATGGCAAACCAAGCTGGGTCAGCTCTTCTGATTGGCTGTAAGTGATGTCATTGCTCTGACTTGCATCCTGCTCCTAGACTCTGGGGTTCCTTTCAGGCTGCCTGAGCCCTCTAGAGGTCATCTCTAGTCTTTAGCCACTAGATAGGACAGCACCTAAAGGAGTCACCTATCACTTAACAATTGTGTGGGTGGGGTATATATGTGTGTGAGGATCCCTCCTGTCCATGCTGCTTCCACACGCACTGCACATAACTGCCCAAACTAGAAATTGTACATTCACTCTCTCATTATTTTATTTATATCTACTTTAGTGCAGACTGTTTCCTTTCTGAAGATGGAGGATAATTAGAGAGCATATGATTTAAATCTAGAATGGACCTTAGAGTTCATCTAGCCCAACACCCTCTTTTTACAGCTATGAAAACTGAGGCTCAGAACAGAAGTTTACTTCCGCAAGATCATATAGGTAGTAAGTGGCTGAATCAGAATTCAAACTCAGGTCCTCCAAATCCAGGGCTCTTTTTACAGCTTCTCTTTATCATCGTCTTTTAGAAAGCTTTTCAGAGATTGAGTCGTTATACAGTGCTTCTTCATTTCTCCTTTTCAGGTCAAACAGTCCCTATGCCTTTCCGTCTTCCTACTATTTTTGATTTCCTACTCATTAGTCAATTCTTCATCTGTTCCCTAGTTCTACTTTCCCTTCCCAGACCCAACAGTGTCAGCCTGTTACTAGGCCTGAATTGATAATGGATAGACAATGGCCTGGTCAACATTGGCAATAGATGTGTGTGAGGAGTGGGGGTGGGGGGGGCAGTGTGGAGAGGAACAAGGGAAAGTCACCCTCTTAGGAATACAGGCTGGGATCACTTAGATTTTTTCCTTCATTGTAAAATGGTGGACAACTCAGTAGAATGTACCACATTAGAAGGGTGTCCCACCATGGCCCTCAGGTTTTCTATGGCCATATTCTAGCCCTGTTGGACCCAACTCCTGACCCTTGGGGCCCAGAGTTTTTAGGGTCATCCTCAATTCTCATTTCCCAGCCCTAACTCACCCTCTGCATAGGAGATATCCTATGACTCTCCTTGTACCCACACTTCCCATGTCTTCCCTCCACTTCCCCTTCCAGGCCAGGCCAGGCCACTGGGGTTCAGGCCTCTGCTACTTATCCCTCCTGGGGCAAAACAAAATCCTGGCTTCTTAGATTTCCCCGCCTTCTCCCCCTCTGTCCACCCAGCCTTTCCTGCTCTGCCTCCCTCCTCATTCCACCCCCTTTTCTCGTTGGATCCCTTTCTCTGGAAGGACCAGGTCAGGGGGAAAGGATGGGGAGGGGGTCTGGGGCCAAGCCTGGCCATCCCAGAGAGAGGAGACGCCATCTGCTTCTCAGAGCTGCTGTCTTCCCGGGCCCCCTCCCCAGCTCACTCCTCCCGCCCCCTCCTGGTGTCAAGCCCCTCCCCGGGCCCTTGTTGTGGGGCCGGTCCCTTTGTTTACGAAGCCCCGCCAGACCCCTTAAATTGCCGTTAATGTTTCAGCGTAACGAATTAGTCTCTCATCACGAATCAGGCTTCGAAATGAGGGAAAAAAGCCCCGGTGAGGCCATCCTCGGAAATTGGGGTCATTCTCATTTGCAAAGCGGAGGATCCGAGCCCCGTAATGCGGAGAAATTTATTCCGAGGCAGGAGCCCCGGCGTGATTAGGCCCTTTGTAATTATCGCTCCGAGAGATTCCACTCCAGCCGCCTGCCTCCCTCGTGGATTAGCAAGCGAGTCGGAAAAATACACAGGATTTAATTAGAGGCAAATTAAAATTGGTAATGAAATCGGGCCAGTTGCAAGTGGCAAGAGTTGGAAGAGAGAGAGGGAGAGGGGATCTCGAGGGGGCACAGCTCCTGCCTGCCCTGCCCGCTTTCTTCTCTGTTTAGAAATGTAAAGATGGAGTCAGGGACCAGGGACGGGGACGGGGACACCGGTATAAGAAGGGCAGGTGTGGGGAGGGAGGAAGGGACCAGGTAACAGGAATGAAG